CCACCCCCCCAACACACGTCTTTCACAAGTTTCTCTGCGGATGTGGGCTCCTCTCAGCGAGCGCGCATGATCCAACCCCATCTTCAAAAAAAAAAATAAAAAAAATCCTCGGACTGGTTTTGCCGGACTGACCCCCCCCCGGTCCGTCTGGACCGGCCGTCGGCCTAACCCAGCTTATAAGGGTATTTGTGTCGACATTAATAGTGGAACTTCGCCCGGATCTGATAATCCATCAACACCGATGCAAGACGAGAGAGCAAAGGAACTGGGACCAGGACGAGATGTAGAGTAGTAATCAGGAAAGTTAGGGAGGGTATGGATAGGGATGTCCCAGGGATGCACCTCTTCTGGCATCAATGAAATAAAAAACAAAGTAGACTTACTGCAGTAGACAGCTACGAGCACATCTCTTGACCCTCCATGAGACAGTTGAGGGCATGTTCTGCCACCCCCATTGTATTGTATTTTTTAGTACCCCTACTGAAAGAGAGGAGAAATGTCAATAGTACGGATGTGTATCAGGGTCAGACCCCATTGATGTTATGACTATGTGAATCCTGCATGGAGCTGGACCTCTTCAGACCAGTTTGATACCCCCGGATCATTAACGGGACCCATAGGGTCTGCCCTTGTTCGCAGCCCTAAGGCTGCCTTATAGTGGGTTTCAGCGTTTGAGCCAAGGTGTCGCATTTTCGGTGGCGGGTGACCAGGACCCAACTTGAAGTGGGCTCTTAGGGGGCAAAGTTTTGCGGACTACCTACAGGTAGCTCTCGCAGAACAGGGACTTTTGAAAAAAGGAACGACCGGCCGTCATGTGCAAGTGGACCCCGAAAAGAAGTCAGAAGGGGAGGCACTGTCAGTAGTGCCATGCGCAGGCTGTCCAAGGCGGAGGGTACCGGCGGGTCCAGTCGCACAATTTGCAAAAGGCAACTTTGGGGATTTCTGTGCGCGGAGAAATTCGCAGAGAAGTCTGAAAATTTACAATCCAATAATTAGGTCGTGGTCTTTCCAGAAAAAAAAGAAATCAGATTGTTTTCAAAAAATCATTAAGATCACAAAATAACTGTCGTGCCGACTCGGCACATTTTCCATTTTTGCCATTCAGCCATGAGTGGGCCTACCGAAAAAGTACTCCAACTTCAGTGATTTTCGCGATCAGAAGAATGCATGAAAATTCCGAAAATTGGAGTGCTCGTAGATTTGGAAGTGATCTTTCCAGGAAAAATATCTCATAAAATTAAAAAAAACATTTCAACCGCAAAATAGATGACCCATATTCCATTTTTGCCATTCGGCCTCTCTCTCCCTCTCTCTTTCTCTCTCTCTCTCTGGTAGCCTCCCCCCCCCCCTCTCTCTCTCTCTCTCTCT